TACTCTGTTACTTAACTGTCGCCCGGTGTTCCAGCACAGGACAATATTCCCCGCTCGGCGTTTCTTGGCTACTGTCCCCAGCTAGGCAGTTAAGCGATAATCCTGTCCGACGTGAGGGTATTTGATCTCGAAAACTGGACACTGCGACTCCTACTGCTACTACTAACACGGTATCGACAACTGGTCGTAAGATTTTGTGCACCAATAATAATAAAAATCGTTGCAAGCGTTTGCTTAAATGACTTTAGTGCCACCATTTACATTTAAGTGTTTTTAGGCGCACGCTGTAGAGCAGTGATTAGCAAACTAGTCTCGTATATTAGTGTAAATCTAGTTGATCAGTTCGCTGGCATAGTGGGTTCGATTCTCACTTGGTGCTTCTCGAATGTAACTTTTGTAAAAGACCAAGCCAGTTTTAGTAAATATCTAAAGAAGTTAAGAAGAATAGATAGCTTCCCCTAACGCCCGGTGCACACTCCTCCCCAGTCTTTTAAACAGAAGTAGAGGCTTAGCCCTTGTTTTCTGTTTAGGATTGGGTTTCCGGTTCCTTCTCCTAAAGTATTCTCATTCTGTTTCATTCCAAGTAACCAGTGTCTTAGTGGCATTATCGCCTTTCTTGGAGTGAAATGATTAAGAAACAGGTGTCTGCGACTCGAATCTCTCAAAATCATTGGCAATGTTGTGCGTTCGAACCTTATTGCATCCCCTACGGTTGAAGCCCTATGAATCTAAGCTTAACAAATATCTGTATTTAAGTGTCTATTCATTTCGGGTCATCAATTTTCAGGGAGAAGAAAGAAAAAAGTTGTTTTTTTTTTACTTATATATATATATATATATATATATATATATATATATATATATATGACATCTCTTTAGGACGTAGGTGGTTATGGCTCTCCATAGTTTCCTTTTCATTATAATCTGCGTACTGTCATGACTTCTTGGGTGCGAGGGACAGGTAGTAGAGTGATTTCACGTTGCCTTCTTTCGAATCCAGAATAGTCCGACTCCAAGACTGGCTAACACCCAGGGACACTGATCCTAGCCTACGTTAATATTTAACCCATAACTGGGGGGCGAAGAAATGGATTCATGCCTTTTTAAAAGCACTTGTGCAAACGTGAACACAGTAAAGTGGGTGAAATTTGAATCCGGCTCATCGATTTTACTTACTGCACCAATTAAACTTACGTCATCCGTACATCTTCAAACTAAATCAAACTTCGTCAATAATTTTACACTTTTGCCGTAGCAATGTTTAGCAAGCTATTTCGGGAGATCATTTAATTTAAAATGAGTTCGATCCTCACTGGAGACAACACATTCGGAGCCTTGTATCAAACCCTTTAGTGAGATAACTTTCCTGAAATTTGGTTGGATTAGAAGGCTTTTCTTTTTATTCTTCTAGATTAAGTGCCACTCCAAACAAAACTAGAGAGCCCAGTTTACCCGACTATTTTACATATAACTAAGCTGGGGAAATAAACGGATTCGTATCTTTTAGGAGGGTGTTACTTTGAAATGAATACAATAGTTTTCATAAAAAAAAAAAGAAAATTTCAAGCAATCCCGATCTTCTATCTAAAAGCATCTCCTGTGGTCCCCTAAAAATCCCAATATGGATATTACCAACCTAACAAATTTTGATGTTTCCCAGGTGACTGCAGATCGAAGGCCTGAAAAAAAGGCTTCCCTTCTCAAGAACTTAAATTCGACAAAGGGTCCCCTCCACACTCATTGAGCGTTGTCTTAAGTTAGGTGTTTTTTCTTCTAGACTGGTTACCAAGGCTGATACTTTGCTATTTAATCAATAGCTGGGGAGAGAATAAATAAATTCACGCCTTTCCCAACAGGATTAGCGCAAAGTGGACACAACTGACGAGGCTCACCGATGCCACCTGCCGCCGCGCCGATAGCTCGTAACACTACCTGCACATTCTAAAAGGGTTAATGATTGTAAAAAAGAAGAAAGTTCTCAAGCGGAATAAATGTGAACAAATCAAAAGCAATCTGAAGAAATACATGAAAGAATGAAGAAAGGAGGCCAAATTATTTAAAAAAAAAAAAAAAAAGAGAGAGCGAGAGAAATTAATAGATAGAGAGGAATAATAATAGCGAGAGAGAGAGGGGGAGAGAGAGGGAGAGAGAGGGAGAGGGGGAGAGAGGGGGGAGAGAGGGAGAGAGAGGGGGAGAGAGAGTGGGGAAAGAGAGTGTTTGTGCGTCATCGAAGCAACAAATGAGAACAAAGACTTCAAAGTGACAAGGGCGGGAAAAGATTCAATGCGTAATGACTGTTTTACTAATCAATGAAACAAGAAATGAATAAAACACACACTGTTACAAAAGCCATGCGTGGGAGAGAGGGAGGAGATAGGAAGTCTGTGGCAGGAATCTCTCAAAGCAATTGCTAATATTATGGGTTCGAACCTTATTGCATTCTATACGGCTGAAGAACTGCGCTAGTCCAAGCTTAACAATTATTTATAATTAAATCGGTACCTCCAAAAACTTTCTTTAAAAAAAGCATACCATGAAGAAAAAAGGCCTCAAACTTAATAAAAACAAAGTTTTATCGTCAAAATATTTATGTTATTATTAAGAGGAAAGACCAAAATATTTTTTTAATTATTTTATTAAATCTTTTTATTCCTTTCTAACACATCCGAAATTTTGCTTAAAAATCTTCTTTTTTTTTTATTTTCGTCAACGGGTGGGCTAAAGATTAGTATGGGAAATTAGCGTCTTTTTTGCGATAAAAAAAACACACTGTTTTGGAAATTCTTGAGAAATCAAATATTTGTCGAATTTTAATTAAATTTTCAGGATATTCACAAATGAATGAAATTACTTTTTAAATAATTTCTTAGAAAATCTTGGTAAAATATTTTTTTACATCCACTTATTTAATTTTATGAAATTTAGAGAAATTAAAATTTCAGGAATTTCGTATTTATATTAGTTAAGAGCAGGACTCCTTGGAGAATTTAAATTATCAATTTGTTTTTGTCAAGCAGAAACACCATTTACCAAAAATCTGCTCTGAATCGTAAAATAATTATTAAATTGGAAACGTTTTTAAGAAAAAAATTTTTCAATGAATAATGAATTTTTACAAGAATGTTTTTTAATTTTATAAAATTTTAATGAGAAAAATTAAGTTTTAAATCTTTTAAAATTCTGCATTAATTTCAGCGGTTTTGATGATATTATTAGATGAAAACTCTATTTACTAATCAGAAATGGAAAGGTTTAATACAAATCATCATACACCAAGATTTTTTAAATATTTTTGATTTTTTTTATTAGTGTATAAACATGCCATTTTTTTTGTAAGTGCGAGCGACCATACAGGTCATTATCAGTAAGTAAGGGCGTTAACTTGTAGTAAATTTAAAGCCGAAATTTCTAAAATTCAATAAAACATTAGATTACGGACAATATTTTCCTAAATATCTACGATCACTGAGTAATTAATAATTAAATGAAAAAAAGGGGCTCGCGTCATTTTCTTCAATTATGTTTTACAGATAAAATCATTATATTTGTCATTACCGCGTCAAATATTTAAAAACATCGACTGTCGGGAAAAAACACGGCTAATATCGGGCTAAAAAATGTATTTCTGAGATATTTTTAAACTAAAATAAATAATATTTGTTTCAAATGAGATTAATTATACTTTAAATCAGCTATTCCTCAAATAAAGTTTCAGAAAAGTATATTTTATTTTTGGAAGACTTTTTAATAAAGAGAATTACATTGCGATGAAAGATGGCTAAAAAAAGGGAAATAATCAGGTGTTTTAGAAAGAAAAAAAAAGCATTCTTTTCAGTCACAGTTTTTTGCATATTGAAAATATTAAATTTAATCTATTAGCTTGAAATTAAAACTAAAATAAAAGCTTCAAGAAAGATTTTTTTTTATTTTTAAAAATTCATTTTAAATCTTAGGTATCGCGTTTTTTGGGTTGTATTTTTTTTTTTTTTTTCCTATATTTTTTTTTTCTTTGTTCCTATATACAAGTATCTATTTACAGTCGCCCGTTTTCAAGGAAATGACAGAAAAATAGTAAGAAAGAAAAAGGGTTTTGTAAATACCATGCCCTTTTCAGGACGTAGGCGATCTGGGCTCTCCACAGATTAACGTTTTCTTTATTATCCGCTGATTGCTATGACTTTTCGAAAAAGACAGTAAAGTTGTTCCCCGTTACTTTTTTGAAGTTAAAGTTTGTTCCTTTTCTCGAAGACTTACTCCTTTTCTCGAACTTTTCTGACTACCCTTTTTTTTCCAAGAGTGGCTACCTAGTTTGGTTTGCTACTTAACCAATAGCAAGAAGGCGACAAAAGGAATATCATTCTTTCTCAACGCGAAGTGAATGCAACTGAATAGTGAAGAATGGAAGTCATCTCGCAACGATAACCCTTTACCCGACGTGCACGTTCTAAAAAGGTTAATGATAGAAAGAATAGAGATTTAAAGCAGAATAAATATGAACAAATCAAAAGCGAACTGAACGAATACATGAAAGAATGAGAAAATGATACACAACAAAAAAAAATAATAGACAGAGAGCAAGAAAGATAGAAAGAGAGAGATGAGGAATAAGGGAGTTTATGTGATTCTACGTTGAAGAGGTAACATGAGAACATAGGCAACAAAGTAAAAATGTCGGGAAAAAAGATGCTAGGTATAATGAA